CCCCAAAACCCCAAAACCCCCTTAAGAATATAAATTTTATTAATGTTATTTTTCTGATCATTTATTTTATTAATATTTTTCTGATCTTACCTATTAAAAATCTTATTAATGTTTTACTATTTTGGATCTTTTTTTAAATATACAAATTTAATCTCTTATCCATTTTAATTGACCGTTGTCTTTAGCATATCAATTAGATTATTTATAGCTTGAAAATGGTTGTGATTACTATTACTATTAGATGTTGTTGTTGTTGTTGTTTGTTATTGGAGTTTGTTATTTGGGTTTGTTTTTATTATTAGAGCTTTTCTATCATATCTGTTTAGGTTTTCCAACTCAAGTTAGGCTTTCTTGAATTAAATCTTATTAAATAATAATGGCTTATTCTTGCCTTGACCCTTGGGATCTATTAGTCTTGATACTTGGCTTGATTTATTTAAGTTAGTTGAGGGAGTTTTTTTCGTTAGATTTTCTTATTTATCTTCCTCCATTTCAATATCCTTTGAGAATTTAAGTGTCATGTGCTTGTATATGGATGTAGGGTTTAGTTTAAGAATTAGATTTCTTTTTATTAGATTTCTCCAGAGCAGACCATATGTACTATTTAGTCTTCATCATAGCCGAAGTTTTCGGTTATTTTATAAGAAGTTGCGATCTAAATTCCTAGCAGCAATTGTTTCATCTGGTGGGTAATTTAGCTTCTTGTTTAGGTATATTAATCCTAGACTGTATTTATTTTCAGGGTTTATTCCAAAATTTTATAGGAGTTTAGTCTACTCTCAAGAATCTAATGCTAAAGCAATCAAAAATTTCAAGGCAGAGGATCATAGCTTCTCACAATAGTTTCTTACATGAACTCCTGATTATTATATCTTCAGAATTAATGCTATTTGGATTAAAAGCTATTTCATAATGATTTTCCAATCTATAAGTTCGCTTATTTACTCTTTTTTTAAATTTATATTTCTATATTCATCGTCGATGGTTTTAAATTACCCAAACGGGGTTTTGGGGTTTTGGGGTTTTGGGG